CCCAAAATGGGATTCAAGGGGCTTACAATAATTGTAAAAAGGATACTTCTAAAACATTAATTACAAAATTACAAAAATTAAATAACACTAATATTAAAAAACAAGTTAAAAACACAGCATGGTTAAAACCATTTTTAAAAAGTATTCATAATGGAACCTCTCCCCTTTCAAATCTAACTCCGCAATGCCTTTTACACTGTTAATCGTTGACATATATTGCCAGACAGACTATCTATAGATATGTCATGCATGTGCTGGAGAAATCACAGAGAAGAGGAAGCCTCGAGAAATTATCACACGGGGCTTTAAAACAGCAATGGCAGCCATAAAATAGCACTTTTGGCAATACGTATCACACAGTATCACCTCCAACCCACAGCTGCTGTGTCTCTCAAGCATAGCTAGGGTGTCCCTTTTCATTGATAGGGCATAACCATCAATAAGCTATTGATTATTGGCAGTTACATGAACTTAGTGTCTCCCCCTCTCACCCTTGTCTTCCCTTTCCCCTTACTATTCCCAAGCAGCCTGATTTCCTTGATATTTTGACTATTTTTTATTCTAATTTTTTAAAAAAATTAAATTGCATTACCATAACTCTAGAATTGCAAACTGATTGGGTTAAGCTATAGGAATTTGTTTTAATGGTAAATGAACGAATAAAACATAACTGATCTAATTGATTAATCTATAACTAGACCAAGTCTGGGAATTTAAGGTTCTTGCTTATAGAGGAAAAGAGAAGTTCCTAATTATTTTTTCTGCCAGATACAATTGAAAATTGAAAATTGAAACTCTGAAACGAAAAAAAACAAGAAAAAAACAAGTAGTTAATAGTTAATAATGGCAACTCTTAAATTAGTGTGTTTCCATTTTTTTTAACAAGTATGATTGTGGTGAGAATGGGGCTTGGGTGGTAATGACCCCAGTATACCTGTGGCTCTGTTATCCCCCAAGCCTCACAAATTTATAAACGGGTACTGGATTTTATCCAGATGATGCTGTACTACTAGCAGAAAATATCACAGACCTAGAACAACTACTAAAGAAGATCAGGAAAGAAAGTAAAAAGGCAGACTTACCGTTGAACATTAAGAAAACAAAAATAATGATCACAGAGAATCTACACAAATTCAACCTAGACAATGAGGAAATAGGAATAGTAAAAGAGTTCTCATAAAGTTCTCATATCTGGGATCAAACACTGATAGGAATGGGGACTGTAGGCAAGAAATCAGAAGAAAACTAAGAATGGGGAGGGCAGCTTTGAAAGAACAAAGCAAAGCAAAGCAGCTTCATTTATATACCGCTTCATATCACGCTATGGGATGTCTAAGCGGTTTACAACTGTAAGCTCATTACAGCATTATAAGAATGATAAGAAACTAGAAAAATGCAAGGATGTACAACTGGATACAAAAGTTAGAATCATACAAGCCATTGTATTCCCTATTACCATGTATGGATGCGAGAGCTGGAGAGTTAAGAAAGTGGAAAGGGGAAAAAATTCATTCTTTTGAGATGTGGTGCTGGAGAAGAGTGTTGAGGATACCCTGGACAGGCAAAAAGGCAAACAAATGGATCCTAGATCAGATCAAGCCTGAAATCTCCCTGGAAGCCAAGATGATAAAGTTGAGATTACCGTACTTTGGTTTCATTATAAGAAAGCACAACTCATTGGAAAAACAATAATGCTAGGAAAGGTGGAGGGAAGTAGAAAGAGAGGAAGACCGTATGCTAGATGGATGGATTCTATTAAGGAGGTCACAGGTAAAAATTTGCAGGAACTAAGAAGAGTAATAGAAGATAGGGAATCTTGGATATGTCTCCTCCATGGGGTTGCCATGGGTCAAGATCGATTCAAGGACTGTTAGCAACAATAACAATTGGGTTTTCTAAGCAGGGGAGGGCAGCTTCCAGAAGTGAGTCGCAGTGGCCTCCCATGGAACCTCAGAAGGTCTTGGGGCCTGGAATTTCCAGAAGAGTTGACAAGAGGTGATTGCTCACCATACATAACTTCAAGGGCTGGTCCAAAGTATTTCAGCAAGCAGAATTTGAGCTTAACAGAGGGCCACACACCTCTCCTTGCCACGTCTCTGATCCCACTATTTAAAAAAAAATTAAACTCAACATATCCCTGTAATTTCTAGGGAGCATAGAGGGTCATTTTGTCAAGGCTGAACTCAAAGCAATTTAGGAGATTACTACACACAGCTTTTATACCATGATTAGACCAGGAAAAAAGTGGCTTAATCACATGACAATGTGACAACTGCATCCATAGCTGTGTCCCTTTTCATTGATGGGGGCAGCCCATCAATGACCTCCAAATTGTGCAAGCCTCCGGGTGCAAAACATTGTTGCCAGGGCAGTTGTGATATTGGCAGTCACATGGTGTCAGTGTCCCCTCACACACACCCCGTTCCCTCTCCCCCTTGCTATTGTCAAGCACCCTGATTCACTTTATTTTTTTTCTATTAATTTTCTTTATTTTTATTTTTAAAAAACTTAACTCACAGTATCAGAGCTCTGGAATTGCATTCAAAAAGTGAAAATAAAAATAACCAAGGGCATAGGGCAGCGAGGAGGGTTAAGGGGGGACTCAGGAAGAGGAAGGAATATCAGCAATCTGAGATATGCAGATGATACCATAATACTAGCAGAAAACCTCACAGACCTGAAACACCTACTAAGGAAGAGCAAAGCAGAAAGTGCAAAGGCAGGCTTACTGTTGAACATAAAGAATACAAAACTAATGACCATCAAGGACCTTCACAAGCTGGGAGGGTGGGCCCTGCATGCTGCCGGCAGCTCAGGAAGGCCTGCAACGTCCAGAAGAGTGGGCCTAAGGCCCCGGGTCATTTTGTCAAGGCTGAACTTAAAGCAATTTAGGAGATTGCTATGCACAGCTTTTATACCATGATTAGACCAGGAAAAAAGTGGCTTAATCATATGTGGTGTTACCTGGTGATGGTGTTACCTGGTACGGTCCGCACCCCCCACAACCCCCCCCCCCATGACAAATGCCCTGGAGTAAAAAGGGTCTGTGAGAAAGTCCAGAAACTAGGGGTGATGCCACACTGCAGAAATAAAGCAATCTGACACCACTTTCCATTCCATCTCCACTTCTCCATCCCGGATTCGCCCCTTCTCGCTTGCCACCCCTCACTCCTGGAACCTTCTTCCCCCTCAAACACGGGTCATTACTTCTTTGTCCACTTTTAAATCCGAGTTAAAGACCACCTTGTTCAGGGAGGCATTCCCAGGCACTGTCTGGTATACATTTCCTTTTTCTGTCATTTGGGTAGACTGTGGATGTTGCTAATTAATTGTTGTAATTGTCTTTTGTTTTAATTGACTTTTATTATTTTACCTATTGTTTTATATTTTAGATTGTACGTCTTTGGCAGGTTTTTATTCTATTTTATGCTTGATTGTCTTTTTGTACAGCGCTGTGTACATTGACAGCGCTTTAGAACTAAACTTTAATAATAATAATAATAATAACCACTTTAACTTCTGTGGCTCAATACTATGAAATCCTGGGATTTGTAATTTGCAGAGCTCTCTGATAGGGAGGGCTAAATATCTAACAAAACTTCACAGCATTGAGTCATGGCAGTTAATGTGGTGTCAGACTGCTTTATTTCTGCAGTGTGGAGGAGACCTAAATTTATTCAGTTGTACCTGGCACAACTGGTTGTGAATTAATATCCTTCTTTTTATAGAATTCTGATGTATGAAGAGAAAGCCAGAGAGAAGGACGAGAAACCAGCAGGACCCCCACCAAAGAAAATCCTAGCCGATCTTCCTTAAAGACCTCCGCACCCTCACAATTAATGTGATTTATTTTCTCATTCAGGTGGCTTCTAGAACAACTGAAATATATATGAGCCTTTTCTATTGTTTTAAAGCCTCAAGAAAGGAGTTAATTTTTAATATGCCTTTTTAAGTATGGGAAAACAATGTCTTATTAGAGTATGTGTGTGGTATTTTACTTACTTGCAGTTATTTTTTTCTCCATTTTAAAAAATGTGGGGGGGGGGAACAGATGGGCAGGAAAAAGCAGCTCAAACCTGCATTTTCTGGAAGCGGTTCGAAACCCTGCTGTCCGCACTGGCCACTCCAAAGGCATCTCAAATGCACAAGGCCCCAGTGCACCTCTTTTTTGTTTGTTTAAACATTTTATTTTATTTTATTTTATTTTATTTTATTGATTTAAGCCCATTTTTCTCTTGCATTAATGTGCAGGACTCTACCAATATAGGCCTAAATGAGAATATTCAGTAGCAAAATGCATTTCAGATGTTATGGCCACTAGCTTAAAAAATAACTTTCTTTAAATAGTGCCAGTTTAAAGCAAGTCATTTGGGATGAACTTATGTTAATTGACAGATTTATTTTTGTATGGTATTTCCTGCACTATAAAATAAAGGGATTAAAAAGAAGCAACTCCCACTGGATACTGGTCTAACAGTGAACAACGGCCAATAAACTGTTAAAAGTCTTTGTTGTTCCAGTAAGAGAAAATAGCAATAATAGACAGAGTTGTTTTTTTTAAAATTATGTATAGCAATTTTAAAAAGGAGTTTTTAAAAAAGCTATTTAAACCATAGTATAAACCAGTCAACCCTGCTTCCAGTTCATTTCCCTGTTGTGAAAAAAAAGGCCTCTCCTATACCTAAAATGGAGGCCAAAATAATAGTGGAATTGTTCCAGTAAGAGAGTTGGAAAATAGTAATAATATCCAGCATTTTTAAATAATTATGAATAAGTCATAAAAAAACTAGTGTTTTTAAATCATTTAGTTTAAACCAAAGTTTAATGTAACCCATGTGAATTATTGGTTTGGCTCAGCGCAGTGATTTCCAAAATTTGGTCCTGCAGATATTTGGGACTTCAGCTCCCAGAACATCCAACTTCTGGAAGTTGAAGTCAAAGCACCTGTAGGACCAACATTTGGGCCCTAGTCAGTGAAAGAAGCCCTATAAAGGGGGCTAGTCTTACTGGGCGCAGTGGTTTGAGTGTTGGACTATTTCTCTGGAGACCAGGGTTCGATTCCCCGCTTGGCCATGAAACCTATTGTGTGACCTTGGGCAAGTCACACTCTCTCAACCTCAGGGGAAGGCAATGGCAAACCTCCTCTGAACAAATCTTGCCATGAAAACCCCGTGATATTTCGCCTTAGGGTCGTCATAAGCGAAGGCACACATTATTTATGGTGCTTCGGCCCCTCAATTGTCTGAGGGACACCAACCCGGCCCCCGGCTCAAAAAGGTTGCCTACCCCTGATCTAGATACTATACTTCTCTTAATACAGCCTAAAATTGCATTGGCCTTTTTAGCTGCGACATCACACTGTTGACTCTTGTTCAACTTGTGGTCTACTAGGACTCCTAGATCCCTTTCATGCACCACAGAGCCCTGGTGGCACAGTGGTTAAATGCCTGTACTGCAGCCACTCACTCATAGACCACAAGGTTGTGAGTTCAATACTAGCCAGGGCTCAGGTTACACTCAGGTCTGCATCCTTCTGAGGTTGCTAAAATCAGTACCCAACTGTTGGGGGGCAATGAGATTACAGTTGTAAACCGCTTAGACATCCCATAGCGTGATATGAAGCAGTATATAAATGAAGCTGCTTTGCTTTTTATAGTCTAATTAAGCCAGGTGTCCCCCATCTTATATCTATGGATTTCATTTTTTTT